CCCTCCCACCTCCCTGATCCTCCTCCCTCCTCCCTCCTCCCTCCCTCGCTTCCTCGCCTCCTACCTCCTCCCTCCCTGCCTCCTGCCTCCTGCCTCCTGCCTCCTGCCTCCTGCCTCCTGCCTCACTCTTTCGCTCCTGCTCCTGCCCTTGCCCAGTCCCCTTACCTGTCCCACTCCTCTCCCTTGCTGCTGCTTCATCCTTGTTACTGACCACCGCTGCAGAGGAGCGAGCCCGACCAGGCGCAGCTCTACCAGTGCGTGGAAAGAGCGTTGAGGTGAGAAGAGATGTGCTGCTCCTTCTCCTCCTCAGCACCTGCAGGTCCAAACTCGAGCCGCAGATCCCCCGACACTTCACGAGGGAGGAGTACGAGAGCAGAGTCCGCAGCATCTTCGCTCGCTACCTCTGATAGTTGTTCCTCATGTTAACTGGCTGCTGGGCTAGAGCCTGTTAAGACTTGAGGTCATTGCCACGAGGAGGTAGAAGGAGATACGACACAAGTAATATCACAAGTGATCTAACTACAAGTAACTTAGTAACTACAAGTGTAGAAACATGATGAGAGTCTAGTGAATCACAGTCACTGACCGTCACCGCTACCGTCGGAAGGACTCCAACTTGGCTAGACGGGTACCAGCCTGAAGCCTTCAACGTTGCGATGACTCATTGGGATCGGTACAGCTTGAGGCGATTGTCTACAACTGAGGGTTTAGTTTAGAACAAAACTATGTCAGATGGGGTTCGAATGATGGGAAAATGGGGGGTAGGGTGATTGAATGCCTTCAGTCTGGTTGAGGGTAGGGGTATTTATATAGACAAACACTTCGGGACACGGGGGGTGGGGTAGTACCGCATGTGCAGTTCAGGAAATGGGAGTTGATCCAGGGGATGGGAAGGGAGAGAGGAGAGGAGAGGAGAGGAGAGGAGAGGAGAGGAGAGGAGAGGAGAGGAGAGGAGAGGAGAGGAGAGGAGAGGAGAGGAGAGGAGAGGAGAGGAGAAGAGAGGAGAAGAGAGGAGAAGAGAAGATAGAATAGCTTAGTAAAATAGAATCCAGCAGCGTAGATGCAAGAAGACATTGAGAAGAACTTAGTAGTGAAGAGGAAGGGCCAAAGACCGTTTGGGCGAAGCTTTGTTTGCTATCAAACTTCTGATGTTGATTGGCAGAAGTCATCACGGAATTTGTTTCATCGCCTTCTGCTCCTTCCTAGAACAGCTGCAACAACAACTCACGTTGAGCTCACATCCTGCGAGAGAGATTGAGTCTCCCTCTCCCTCCCCCTCCTCCCCTTCTTCCTCCTTGCACAGACTCCTCCTGACGTACGAGAGAAGTAGAATATGAGCTCAAGCATTATCTCCAAGAGCGATCGAGCCTTCATTGAGCAGGCGGCGAAGGAGTCTCAGCGAGTTGACGGCCGCCGCTTGCTGGACCATCGCAGGGTAAGGATTCACTTCCATGTACAACCTGGCATGGTCGAAGTGCAGCTGGGAACATGCAGGTTGTGCTCGTCCTCGTCCACCTCGTCCTCCTCGTCCTCGTCCTCCTCGTCCTCGTCCTCCTTGTCCTCGTCCTCTTCCTCCCCCATCCCCCACTACCACCATCTCCTCTTCCTCTCGCTGACTTCTCAACAAGAGTACTCGGGGTCGTGAGCGCTGCTCTCGTCGTTCCCCCAGCAGAGCGTCCAGCAGAAGGGATCGTGTCCCTCGACCTCCTGCCACTCCCTCTTGCCGACTCGTCAACAGACGCGAACCGAGCAAGCGAGACCATGAAAGACGGTCGAGCGATCTTGCAGGTGGCAAAGCAAAGGAGGAGAAGAAGGGAGGAGTGGGGAGTAGAGGAGGAGAAGGAGAAGGGAGCAGGAAAGAGAAAGACATCGGAGACGAGGAGGAGCAAGGACGGGGACAAGAGGAGGAAGAAGCGGAGGTGTTAGTCTACTGAAATTCTGTCAGCGAGCGATTGTCAAGAGCCGATGCGTGGACGTGGAGTCACTTTGTGTCATCGCCGGGAAAGCAGTGTGGAAGGTTACAGTGGAATTGAAAGTGCTTGGTGAGAGAGGAGGAGAGGAGAGGAGAGGAGAGTGGAGGGAGGGGAGGAGTAGACGGAGCGGAGGGAACAAGCAGAGGGGAGTGGAGGGAGGCAGGGGACGGAAAGGGGAGGTAAGATTGAGTGTAAACGAGTTGATCATGTTTGATACAGAGAATGGAGGCAACGTCACGGACTGCTGCAGCCTTGCCGCAGTCTTGTCTCTCAATCACTTCAAGTGAGAATTTCTTGCATGGCACTCCCGCTCCCTCCCCCAACCCTTCCGCCACCTGTTGCTTCCCCTCCTGCTCCTGCTCCTGCTCCTGCTCCTGCTCCTGCTCCTGCTCCTGCTCATAATCGTGGTCCTGCTCCTCCTGCTCTTCCTGCTCCTCTTGCTCGTCTTCCTCCTCTAATTGTTCGGGTAGACTCAACGAGGTAATTGTCGACGGGGACAAAGTCAAAGTCTTTGCCTACAGTGAGAGAGTAAGTGCCTGCCTCCCTCTCCCCAGTCGCTCTCCTCCTGCTCCTCCTGCTCCTCCTGCTCCTCCTGCTCCTCCTGCTCCTCCTGCTCCTCCTGCTCCTCCTCTCCTCGCCCCAAACCCACTTCCCTCCTCCTGTTCTTTCCAATATCTCTCCGTCCTTTCTCCCACTCCCCCATTTCCTTACCCTCTTTACGATCGGCTCTTTTCATTTTCGATTGCATCTTTCCCTGCGCGGTCTTTTCCTCTCAAACTCTCTCTTCCCCGTCCATCCTCTTGCTCCTTGTCAACATTCCTGCTCCT